AAAATTGATATCACCAGTCGCTGCAAAGACTGTCGTAGAGAGGTTGATCACGCGTGAGCTCTGTCGGTGACTCGTGAGCTCAGACATTCCCTCTCCGTGTTTGTTCTGAGCACTGCATCAGTCTTATATCGCCCCAATCGTGACATTTTAATCAGAATTTTGATTAAAGGTAGTGTGCCAGCTTTCTTGGACCGTATGGAGTTAATGGCCCAGATAAGGAGAACCGGATTTTTAGAACTTATCCATACCTTCAAAACTCATGGAAACGTCTTAAATTCTTCAAATTTTGAGTACCCCAGTGCGAAATTCGCCCCGACGGGTTGTCGGTCGTACCCCAACCACATTTCACACCACTATGAACAATAAATGCACACACTGAAATCGCTATTACCGATATGCTCATCCAATCAAGTTTCGATAAACCCGTTCATCATCATCTCCTGCGGTTTCGAACACGCCTCTTACTGTTAACGCCAGACCCCTTGAGACCCTAATTTTTCGCGATTACTTTTAAATGCGTGAAGGAATTTCAACCAAGCTCAGGACATGGCCGTTTCAAGACAGGCCGAAACTTTTACAATTTAGATATTTTATCGCCATTTCAATATTTCAGGCACTTGTCATTGACTCGTAATGTTAAATTTCGAGCAAGATTTTCATCCGGTGTGTAGAGGCTATCACCAGTCAGTCTGTGATACGTTATGACGTCACAGCTAAGCCCCGCCTCTGTGGTCTTGGCCTGCGGCGGTTTCGGGCCGGCGCGCGGTCACTCTCGCTGTGGCGGGGAGCGGGGACGGGCGACGGTCGAGCGGTGCCGAAAGCCGGCGGAGTTGTGCGTAGCGTCTTGGCTGACAGTGCCCAGAGAGCGACATGATGACTAAGGAGTCATAAATGCTCAATGCGCATTGCTTCTACAATGCTGATATGTTCGCTGATATATATATTTTTTTTATAAGCTGCAAATGACGGGCAGATGGCATATAACTGACCTAAGGTCAGGAAATATTCACCTGTATTTAAAGCCTATGGCGTTGCAGATAATGCGATAATGGGATGTCGGATGTCACCAAGTAGCTGCCGATTTGTACATCGCTATGCAACCATCGAACGACGCAATAATAAGTTAATTGCCTGAGCTTCACATCATACGGCTCGCTCGTATTTCAAACAGATACCCTACATCGAAAATCGTATTTGTTAGGAATCGTTAACGTTTGTTCGAAGCACGACTGAGTAGTAGGTTGAGGAGTGATGGTCCTCTTGGTCCTATATACAAGAGTCAACAAGAGCCTAACATTTACTTGACCGTCTGCTGCAATTGACTCATAGCACGTGAAGCGTCAGCGAAATTCATAGTCCTTCACAGATGGCAGGGGTGTCGTTTGTACAGAGGTCGCTGATGGGCACGGGTCAATGCCGCAGTCGTGGGCGGAGCCTAATGTCATATGACGTAGAAAGCCTCTATCCAGGATGGAAAAACAGTTAACATTACGAGTCAATGACAAGTGCCTGAAATATTGAAATGGCGATAAAATATCTAAATTGTAAAAGTTTCGGCCTGTCTTGAAACGGCCATGTCCTGAGCTTGGTTGAAATTCCTTCACGCATTTAAAAGTAATCGCGAAAAATTAGGGTCTCAAGGGGTCTGGCGTTAACAGTAGGTGGCTTCTGATGCTCGTCGAGGTCGGAATTTCCAAATACGCGTGGTGCGTCGGGCCGCGCGCTCTGACTTCGGCCAAGAAAAATGCGTCAGCTGATCATTGTCATTTCTGCCACTTGCGTGTGGTGAAATGGGGTCATAACTTATAAGACGGCTTTTTCATATCAATTATTTTACATAAAATCATATTTCAAACCATAAATAATGTTCGACAGCCAAATAAAAGAAACAATACCAATACGGGCTTACAGTTTAACCCTCGCCCGTAAACGGCGATCTGCCACCTTCGCCCATGCAGGGGGGGGGTTGGTGCGACCCCCCCCTTGGCGTTTGAAAACGGAGCGTCGTAGAGCTTAGCGGAAAAGACCAACGGATTGCTCTCGCCGAGATCTCGCGATTGGTGGTATATTTTTTGGTCCTAGGTCAACATTTGACCTACTTTTGACCGGTCAAAGGTCAAATTTTCGGAAAAAATAGACTTTTTTCAACTTCCCGCGGCGATTGCGGCAAAACGGTGGGAGATATCGACTTGAAACCTTCACTATCGTGTTCCTTGATCAATTCTCTATCGTTTGGTATGTATTTCGTTTCCCTAGCTCTAAAAATGGCGCGTTGGGAGCGCCGGAAGTCGGCAAGGTCACAGTCGGCGGCAGAAATTCGAAAAATCAAAATTTAAATTTTTGAAAGCTGATTGTATTTTTGGATTTGGAAGGTCCATTTGCTCCCTATAGAAGCTAATATTGCTGCATATTCCCATTGAGGTGACAAGAATTAGCAAAATAGTGGTTCGGGCGCTTTTCAAAAATAGTACCGGACGCTGTTCCTCTTGTGACGTCATAGCTCCGTGACCTGACCTGACCCGGTCAAGTTTCTTATACCATATGATAGCCAATACTTGCCCCAACATGCATGGGAAGTTTCATCACGATCCATCAACCGATGTCCGTACCACCGGCAGGAAACCTCGGGCGTTGGCACTCAGTTTGTGAAAATCCGGCCGGAGGCTGTTCCCTTTGTGACGTCATAACTCCGTGACCTGACATGACCCGGTCAATTTTTTTTTATCAAAAGATGCGCAAGGTTTGCCCCATAAGGTACCCAAAATTTGGCGGCGCTGCGCGCCGCCGTTTTTGCACTATTTCCGAAAAACCTCAGGGGGGGGGGGGTTGCACCAACCCCCCCCCCCTACATGGGCGAGGGTTAAGGCTCGACATTGTGTTGTCTACGATTAGACAGCTGATAACTCATTCCCGTACGTCGTATGGTCGTAACACTATAATGACCTTTGCTTATTGTCACAAGTGCGCCGCATTCGCGATTGTTGCCCGACGCCTGTTTGCAGGTGAGCCCACTACAGTTGTTATACATATCTAAAAACCGAAAAACTTTTAGGCGAAAAAGGCACTATTCCAGGCCCATTTTTGATTTTTTTTGCGATATTAGGTAAAAACAGAAGCTTCTTATCCTAGGAAAAATAAAATGGGAAATCTTTCAAAGGTGGCACACTACCTTTAATATTTGTGATGTTCATAGATGACAGTAGATCGGGCACTGTACAACTAGTTGTCAGAAAGTGCCTTCTGATATCCATCCAACAGTCATTGGCTACGGTATCTATTATTATAGCAACAGTCCAGGGACCATTTCTGAGCAGCTACATTTTTCTTCAGTAGGTACCGTGAAAGACCGTTGCGTATACCCCCTCCGCTTCAGTAGCGTACCGTTCTGTGAGAGGTGAAAGGTGCTGCGGTGCTGTTCTCTCTCTCTCTCTCTCTCTCTCTCTCTCTCTCTCTCTCTCTCTCTCTCTCTCTCTCTCTCTCTCTCTCTCTCTCTCTCTCTCTCTCTCTCTCTCTCTCTCTCTCTCTCACTCTCACTCTCACTCTCACTCTCACTCTCACTCTCACTCTCACTCTCACTCTCACTCTCACTCTCACTCTCACTCTCACTCTCACTCTCACTCTCACTCTCACTCTCACTCTCACTCTCACTCTCACTCTCACTCTCACTCTCACTCTCACTCTCACTCTCACTCTCACTCTCACTCTCACTCTCACTCTCACTCTTCTCTCTCTCTCTCTCTCTCTCTCTCTCTCTCTCTCTCTCTCTCACTCTTCTCTCTCTCTCACTCTTCTCTCTCTCACTCTTCTCTCTCTCTCTCTCTCTCTCTCTCTCTCTCTCTCTCTCTCTCTCTCTCTCTCTCTCTCTCTCTCTCTCTCTCTCTCTCTCTCTCCGCCGTAGTGTCGTGTGCGTGCCACTCACTGGCGGTATGTTTTTGTTGTCGGCTCGCCGGCCGGACTTTCTATGACCACCTTACCCTCTATGTAGGTATGCGTGTCTGGTTTGTGTGCGTGGGTGTTTGCGAGAGTGTGTTTGTGTGTCGGTGTGCGGCGTTAGCATGGGGTAAACAATGCGGCGACCGCGACCGATGACCCCGAACGCCTCATTTGAATCATCCTCCGCGATTTTCAAGGTCAGAGAGAGAAAGCTGGATGTAGTGGTAAACACCTGCCGCGTTGATTGTTGGGCAGGCCAGGGTATATCGTAACTGGTTACAAGGAATGTGTCTCCATTGCAATTTGATTTGGGAGAATCTCTGATATCAAAATAAGCAGCTGCGATTTTCGTGACAATTCTTTCATCACCGATAGTTGCAAGAGGGAAGCAGTTCCCCCATGACAATGATCTATTTCCTGTTTTGCCACTGCCACTGAGTGCCGGCAGCATTTATCAACTCGTTTTGCCGATGACAATAATCGGCAATAAGTTATCGTTGCTTATATTCATTTTACTTGCATATTTTTCTCCTAAGTTGCTGTTTTGCGTTATTAATGCTGCATTTCACCATGTCTATGCGATGCGTTCCAGCACACTTTGTATTAATTGCGCTAAGTGAAGCACTTTGACGTTTTAACATTTATTATTTTGTCTTTCTGATGGAACTTACGGTGTACGTACCTTTCAGCTAGTTTAGGTGCTTTGGTTTGGAACCTGCTAGGCTGAAATAAAAATATTAATGCTAGCGGCAATGTTAATGATCCAGCAGCAGCGTTCTGTAACATTGTCAAGTTTTTAATGATTATTGGCGACGTGTCTTTTCTTGACGGTCGAAATCGGTGCACTCTGGTAATGAATGATTTCCTCGATCCATATAGGTGCCGTATACATTAAGCTCAATACTCATCATGCATCCCATACCAACTCATAGCGCGATAGTTTAAGTCCGGTTTAAAAGAATAGGAGGAGCCGTTGCAAAGGCAAATCCTCTAAACCATCATCATCATCATCATCATTAAAGCAAAAGCACGTGAATAAAGATGATAAAAATTGTCTAGGTGAGAGTATTGTTGCTAATGCGATAAATACCATTGTTGCTTTCACCTGCAATAGCCAGTAAAACTGACCACTTGAAACTTAACGCTATCAAAATCAGCAGTTTAAACACCATTGTCCTAAAAAGTATAATCAAATACCAGTCTTTAAGATTTACTTTGACAATCTAAACTTCTCTATATTAATATAATTTATTCTAATTTATTGAAACAAATTGATAGAAAATAAAAACAGCAGATATTAAATACCAGAAAAGGAAATATCTGCCATCAAGATAAGTGTTTTTTATAATAAGATAATAACAAGATAATCAACAATAATTGCCATCAACCTATCAATTATGCTTCTGCGAGTTGTACTGGCAGCTGCGCTCTGCGTGGTGCTCAGTTCGGGCGCCACTCATCATAACCCCTACTGCGAGCTGAGCGAAATGCACACCATGTGTCAGTACGAGGGCATCGGGCCGGCGTGCAAACGGGTTGAGGCACGTGAAGTCAGCCACGAAGACATCAACGTGATCGTGGACATGCACAACCAACTGCGGTCTAAGTTGGCAACCGGTTTTGAGCGCAGAGGACGATTTCCGCAAGCCATCAGGTTACAAAAACAGCTTCCGGCCGCCAACATGCTTCAGCTGGAATGGGATGATGAACTAGCGCGCGTGGCACAGAGACTGGCCGATCAGTGTGTCTACAGGCACGACTGCAAGGAGTGCCGAGCGCTCGACCGTTTCGACGTTGGCCAGAACCTGGCTGTGACGCACGGCGCCGACAAGGGAAAACAGCCCAACTGGAAGGCTACCATAGGACAATGGTTCGACGAGGTCCGGGCTTTCAACCACAGCAACATCAAACCATTCAAGTTTTCGCACGACTTTGGTCACTTCACCCAGATGGTGTGGGCCACCACCCAAATGATTGGCTGCGGCTACTCCATGTATTTTGCCGGCGGCCAGTGGAACAAGCTGTACGTCTGCAACTACGGCCCGATGGGTAACGTGCTTTTCGACGAGGTGTACGAGGCGGGCCCTTCGTGCAGCCGGTGTCCGGCCGGCACCCAGTGCTCGACTCACTACCCCGGACTCTGCGCTGGTGGTGCCAAATCGGGCCATCTCCAGGCCGGTACGAGCATCCAAGACCTACTAAATCAGCTGTCGGGAGGCAGTTCCGGGCAGCCTGCTCCGCAAGCCGGCGGACTAGGCGGTCAAAGCATCCAGGATATGATTAGCCAGCTTGGTGGCGGAGGAAATGGTGGCCAGCAGGGTGGCGGTCAAAGCATTCAGGACATGATTAACCAGCTTAGCGGCGGCGGCGGCTATGGTGGCCAGCAGGGTGGCGGTCAAAGCAATAGCATCCAGGACATGATTAACCAGCTTGGCGGCGGTGGTTATGGTGGCCAGCAGGGTGGCGGTCAAAGCATCCAGGACATGATTAACCAGCTTGGCGGCGGCGGTGGTTATGGTGGCCAGCAGGGTGGCGGTCAAAGCATCCAGGACATGATTAACCAGCTTGCAGGCGGTGGTTATGGTGGCCAGCAGGGTGGCGGTCAAAGCATCCAGGACATGATTAACCAGCTTGGCGGCGGCGGTGGTTATGGTGGCCAGCAGGGTGGCGGTCAAAGCATCCAGGACATGATTAACCAGCTTGGCGGCGGCGGCTATGGTGGCCAGCAGGGTGGCGGTCAAAGCATCCAGGACATGATTAACCAGCTTGGCGGCGGTGGTTATGATGTCCAGCAGGGTGGCGGTCAAAGCATCCAGGACATGATTAACCAGCTTGGCGGCGGTGGAAATGGCTATGTTGGCCAGCAGGGTGCTACGCAAGCTGACGGTTTGGGCGGCCAAAGCATACAAGACTTGCTGAACCAGCTGTACGGTAGCAGTGCTGCTGCCCCGCCTCAGGCACATGGATCGCAGCAACACCCAGCGCCGGGCGGTCATCGGGGCAGCAGCGGCAAGGAACTGTTGCACTGCGACTTTGATCAGGTTTCCTGTAAAATATCATTCAAAGGCGTACCGTGGAAGCCGCAGGCTACCAGCACCAGTCATGGCAACGCGCTGACCGCCACTGTGAAAGCTGGTGAGGGCACCGAAGTCCTCTTTGAACAAATCATACAAAACCCTCCAAGCCAAGAACTTTGTATCTACTTCTCTTACATGAAGTATGAGTCGCAGGGCAGGCAGCCTGTCCCTTTGCTAATGACAATAGAGGCGATGAAGAGCAATGTCGTCAACAAACCAAACGCGTTGCCACAGAACACCAAGGATATGCTGTCGTACGCTCTCCAACTGAAACAAGTGAATGCTCCGATGCGTCTGCACTTCTCGCTCAGCGTTCCCAAGACGGCGGCCGGCCAAGTGACTGTGGTAGCTGTGGACAATATTAAAGTGGTACCTGGTCAATGCTAAATGCACGTTACTGACCGGCTGTCAGTCGCGTGAACGTTCTGCACCCTACCTAGCATGGCAGTTTAGTACAACCTTTTGAGCGAAAATATATCAGCTATGCGTAATGCGTATGTTTCTAGATAAGTCTTCTATTTGACTCTCCTATCGAAGATGTCTAATGAAAGAATAACGCAACGGGCAGTACTTTTTTATTCCAACACATTTACATACTGTTCCTGAACTGGAACCTATGAAATGACACTCCGGCATAAAAAACTCGCCTTTTCTTTGGCGAGTTTTTTTTTTCTTCGCAAAATATTTACTTTTTTGCAAGTGGATATTATTCAAACTATTTCATTACCTGTCACGACCTAATGACCTGACGATCTAACAGGTGTTTTTATTTGCTTTAACCCGGCAAGCGGCGGGCCTCCCGGCCACCTTCCGCGCGGTGGGTGGGGGGTGGGGGGCATTCCCCCCGTATCTCCGAAACTACTGGACGGATCCGGAAAATTCAAACGGCGTTCGATAGCCCTATCAAATTTGTCCAGGAAAACCAAATTTCATTGACGTCGGGGCCACTGATGACGTCACAGGTCAGGTCAAAGATGAAATGTTTCACCGTTCACGGGTCTTCTAGGGAAAGCGCTATAACACACGAGTAAAACGCATTTTGTCGAAAATCAGCGATAGGGCGTCAGTTGTCTAGTACATAGGTATGTTGCTATTAGAGGTCACTGGTCATACCAGGTCAGGTCACGGGTCATGTCACCAAGGGTCACCACATGAACCCAACTTTACTAAGGTTGTGCAATGCATGTTTTATGGCCATTTTTTCATTTCCAACTCAATGGTGATGGTTATAAGACCATCAGGTACGGTTTAGGTCACTTTCGGGGCGTTCCACGACAAATCGACAAGTGCCCTGCACCCTCATATTTTATTTTTTGCTTAAAATTGGTCTAATGGGTTGTGATGGGCGGGGAAGCCAGCTGTTGCAAGGATTTTTTTTCTTCGAACAACGGTTTCCGAGATATAGCCTCGGGCAATTCCTGGATGTCGCGCTGCAGCCCCATGTTTGGCGGCCTATAACTCAGAAACTATTGGTTTTCTACGATAAAAACTTCATATGGTTCAACTCACAATCAACCAACAAACATTTTGGCTATCTCGGATTTTCAATTTTTGAAAATTTTGATCACGTGACCTTTTGACCTATTTTTCGAAGAGTGACCTTGATATTTTCCCCACTGAAAGTTGCAATTTTGTCTGATGACGATTAAAGCCTTATCAATTGTCATTCATATGCGAAAATAAAAAAAGTGGATATCGCCCTGCGTTGACCTCAGGTCAGGTCATTTTTATGACCTGTCCATTATTACGAGCGGGAGCGACAGCGAGATCTCGAGAATAAAGCAAGATAGCGACAAGCGGTAAACGGTGAAGGGTACAAATGGATAAGGTCTATAATTTTTACTGAGGTCATTTTCAGGTCAGGTCAAAGATGACGTCACAGGAACAAAAAGGAAGTCAAAATTGCGGCACTACATATATATATATATGAAGTTTTTCTCGAATAACTTTCAAGGTATCCCAGCTAGGAACAAACTAATATCACCATCGTGATCCTCTCGTCGATCCGCATCGAAACATATGTATGTTGACCTCGAAAGGTCGAAAGGTCAAAAGTTGACCTTAGGTCACGTGAGCTAAGGTCAACTTTTGACCTTTCGACCTTTCGAGGTCAACATACATATGTTTCGATGCGGATCGACGAGAGGATCACGATGGTGCTATTAGTTTGTTCCTAGCTGGGATACCTTGAAAGTTATTCGAGAAAAACTTCATATATGTAGTGCCGCAATTTTGACTTCCTTTTTGCTCCTGTGACGTCATCTTTGACCTGACCTGAAAATGATCTCAATAAGAATTATAGACCTTATCCGTGTGTACCCGGCACCGTTTACCGCTTGTCGCTATTTTGCTTTATTCTCGAGATCTTGCTGTCGCTCCCGCTCGTCACGTGACCTAGGGTCAACTTTTGACCTTTCGACCTTTCGAGGTCAACATACATATATTTCGATGCGGATCGACGAGAGGAACACGATGGTGCTATTAGTTTGTTCCTAGCTGGGATACCTTGAAGGTTATTCGAGAAAAACTTCATATATATGTAGTGCCGCAATTTTGACTTCCTTTTTGCTCCTGTGACGTCATCTTTGACCTGACCTGAAAATGACCTCAGTAAAAATTATAGACCTTATCCATTTGTACCCTGCGCCGTTTACCGCTTGTCGCTATCTTGCTTTATTCTCGAGATCTCGCTGTCGCTCCCGCTCGTAATAATGGACAGGTCATAAAAATGACCTGACCTGAGGTCAACGCAGGGCGATATCCACTTTTTTTATTTTCGCATATGAATGAAAATTGATAAGGCTTTAATCGTCATCAGACAAAATTGCAACTTTCAGTGGGGAAAATATCAAGGTCACTCTTCGAAAAATAGGTCAAAAGGTCACGTGATCAAAATTTTCAAAAATTGAAAATCCGAGATAGCCAAAATGTTTGTTGGCTGATTGTGAGTTGAACCATATAAAGTTTTTATCGTAGAAAACCAATAGTTTTTGAGTTATAGGCCGCCAAACATAGGGCTGCAGCGCGACATCCAGGAATTGCCCGAGGCTATATCTCGGAAACCGTTGTTCGAAGAAAAAAATCCTTGCCACAGCTGGCTTCCCCGCCCATCACAACCCCTTACACCAGTTTTCAACGAAAAATAAAATATGAGGGTGCAAATTTAATTTTGTATTTGTCGATTTGTCGTGGAACGCCCCTTTCTGCTTTAGGTCAGGTCAAGGTCAGGTCAAAAAACGTCAAATTTCAAAGTTGATAGTTTTGCACAAAATGGGTTTTGATTCAATGCAGCTCGTCACGGGGAGTCTAATAGTGGTCTTTGTTTTGCGCTACAAGGTCTAGAATGGGGTTGGGAACTCGATTTTTGAAGAATGCATGAAAATGATCAAACTATTTTCACAGAATTTATGGTGCATACCATTGCCTCATAAAATCAATAAGCTGAGAGAAATGGGGGAAGAAAGATAGGAAACTTGTTTTGAAAAGTTCTTGAAAAAAGATGCTCTTGATGCTGTTACGTCACATGTCACCTTCTGCGGTTGACAAATAATGGCGCATCTGGCGCACCACAGATTACATGTTATATCAATGGGTGAAAGATGTTGTTTGCTTCACTCTGCCATTCGCGCTGTTTTTAACTTTAAATTATGCTAAAACATTTACGGATGAAATGTTCAGTGTCAAAAATTGATGTGTCTGCCGTGTACTATATTCCCACTTAACATGAGCGCGTGATAAACATTTTATGTACCTCGAATTTTCGAATGATAAAGATGATGAATCGGAGGATGCTGAAAAGCAAAAGCTCATTCCAATATTTGGACTACTTTACGATTAAAATGTTTACATTCCTGTCATCTTATTGATCATTTATTTGTTCTTTTTTATGAAAATAACTTAAGGCGTTGAGAACCGAGGTAATTTCTATCTACCGTGCCTTAACTTACCAGCAACAGCAATCTATCTACGGCCTACGCCCTACGGTGGCAAGGGAGACTGTGAAAGAAGCGTAAGATGGATTCTAAACAATTCTTTTGTGATATACTGAAGGGCAAAGTGCAGAGAAGAGCGTACAAGTCCTGTTTTGTGCCAGGCTGTTGCAGTAGCACTTATGAAACTCCGAAAACGATCTTCGTTCATGTCCCGAACAACATTACCCTGAGGAGATGATCGTCTGCAATAGCAGGAAGAGCTGATGCAAGTACTTTGAAATCCACTATCAAGTCGGTGCTATTGTTGTAATGATCACTGTGAGGTGAGATATTTTGTGCAAGGGCTGAGTGTAATGCCCAGGAAATGACCTCCATTCGCCCGCTGACCGGTCAGGGTTATAAAATTTGAGTGGATGGCGGTCCGTTTGGGGTTCAGATGTCAATTGTATTTTGTTACTGTCAAACAATACATGTTATGCTGGCAGCGAATGTGTGTAACGTCGTTTTTCGAAACAGAAGTTAGAACTGTAACGGCAGAGTGCTTGCTGGTCTCATCGTAAGTATTGTAAGTGTTGTAAGCAAAAGCATTGTCAATATTGTAAGTATTGTGAGCATTGATGTATGGTAGATATCACCTCACATGATCTCGGCTCAGATAACCCTCTCCGGTGTCCCTGTCAGTAAATGGCACCTGGATCATTACAGATACGATAATTTGTCATAATTCTTAAAGAATTGGTTGGTTTTGACTCGTTTACTCGAGGTGCAGGTCGCATTTCAATACTTTTCCATAGGCTTGCAATGTAAAGGTCACGACTCTGACCTAACCTCAGGTCACAGATCAAAAATTCTGAGATATACAAACGACACATACTGCAGGTCTGTTTTGAAGACTTGATGAGAGGAAATAACTTCGTGAAAAACTCAAGCTCTGACGTGTTTGCAAACTTTTCTGAGGTGGGGTCAACAAACCCGTTCTGGTTACCTGACCTGACCTGACCCGGCATTTTTTTTTTTTTTTTTTGCTGAGATGTGCGCAATGAGCAGTTAGGAAAAGTCACCAAATATGAGCTGAATTTCTCGCGGCGTTTGGCAATTGTACAAGAAAATCCTGAAAGGTCTCCCCGTCCGAAATAGGGTTAATGTGTATTTGAAGAGTTGCAGATGCCAAACATACCCAGATCTAAGACTGCAGTTCCCAGCGCCGCTGCAACGTTTTTAAAACAAACATACATAGGACATACAAACATGTTTATTTGCATCTGTTTTGGATAATAGCAACTCATGGCGCCATCACCCGCGATAACTGTTAGGATTTGAGATATATTTTTATTCAGGCCATTAGTTTGGCTGTAATGTTTATTAATATTAGTTGGGCGGAGTTTGGTAGTTTTTTATTTAACTTGTGGTATGTTGTGCTGATTGCGGGTTGTTCAAACCTTTCAAATGTAAGGACCTTATTGAACTCAACCCTACCCCTACACTACCCTACATACGACTGGACGCTTTCCAAGCCCACAAGCATCACGACGCCGAGATGGAATGTAGCCGAGAAATCA